GCATTCCTGTTTTTTAAAGATATGCAAGCAGACAACTGTAGTTGGGGTAAGGTTAAGGCAGTCTTTTGCAGCTCTCTTTGGTGTCCAGTGGAATCTCTCTATTTCTCTTTTACAGATAGTACCACTAATTTAGGGGGAGCTTCTTTGAAGAGTAAAAAAAATCCTTCATTGGAATGTGATTTTCTTCTGGAGAGAAGGAAGGTCTAAGATCAAAAAGGGATTTTCAGAAGCACATAGGTGTCTTAGGAGCACAAAATCTATTGCAAGTTGTGCTTCTGAGTCATTTTGACACTTCTGAAAACCCCAACCTAATGTCTCAGTGACAAATCTGGGTCTACTCCAATAACAATTTCCATGGCCTGTTGGGGTACGAACAATGTTTGTGGGACCTGGTTTAAGTTTAGATGGGTTACTTTAAGTAAATATTTGCATCAGGTATTTTAACAAAAATGCCATGCTGTAGCATGGGACAGCTCCACAAGTAGAAGCAAAAGTGAGCGCAGTGGTATAGACAAGACAGCAGCCTTTTTACTGCAGCGCCATCCAGGCTTCCTCAGAGCGAGTCTATGCAGTTCAGCAGTAAAAATAGCAGTGCCTGCTAGTGCTTACTCCTTACTATACAGTAATGCTCCCTGCACTGCTTCTGTTGGCAAAGCTGCAACAGTTGGAAACCTTCAGGCAAACTCTGCATAGGTGAGAGACTTGACTGTAGCTAACACACCTTCCAAAGGCAAGTTGCCTTCAAGGCATATTAGACCCCCTACTGCTTAGCTATATTTCTCTGTGTGCGTGGATGCATGTGTTCACATACATTTATGTAGGCATATGGTATATGTATTTTGCACATATTTATATTTCCCCTCCTGTGCTATTATTGTGCAGAGGCAGACAGCACATTCATGTACATTCTTGGGTTCACCAGTATGTGTGTTTATATATATAGATATATAATTGTGTGTGTGTATATGTATATATATGTCTGTGTGTATGAGAAACAGATGCACTGTAGGCAGATAAAGCAGATAAATTTAGATTCAAATAGAAGCATAAGTGTATAAATATAGACACTATATAGAGTGAAAGCAAGCAGATCAGCACAGTTTCATTATTACTTGCATTCTGTATAATAAAAGAGGAGCTGACATTGAAATGACTGAATGTCTGACACTGTGAGATTGCAGAAGAACATAGTGTAAGGTAAGAAAATAACCTTTCTCTCTAGCTTGAGGAGCAATTAAGCAAGAAGATTTTATGCCTTTAATTATTGCTTGATAAAAGTTTTTGCATGATCATTTTGAGGAGGGAGGCTGGAGACTGGAAAGTCGGTACAGATTTGTCATTTTAGCTTATTATAAGGAGATAAAATAAATATCTTGACCCAGATTCTGTGGAAGGGGAAGTGTCCCATCTAGCAAATGCAACACCCTATTTCTATTTTTATAATGAGCCTTATGCCCAATGATTGTCAACTCTCTGCTGCTTTTGGTACTGGTCAGTCTGCTTTCTTCAGGTTCAGCCAGTCTCTGAAAGTTGCCTTGCGTGGAAAACCTTGAGGGGAAAATTTAAAGTACATGAAAAAAATCACTATTCCTAAAATTCTGTTAGAGTGATGTGTATAAATATCACATTGTTCTATTCCATTTGTTAGTTGTTTTAAGTTTGCTTTACTGATGAAGACACCTTTTTGTTGCTCCAGTTAGCCTGGCAGGGCAGCCCAGATTTCAGATATCTACAGCACTGAAACTATGGAATTGGCTATTTAGAGACAAAAAGGTCGTCTTTATATTAGATTTAAATCAGTCCATATTTCTTGTAATTCAGTTTGATTAGAATACACAGAAACTTTTCTTCTTGCTTGGGCCTTTCAAACAGCCTGGAATTCCTGGGGATTTCCAAAAGACTGTAGTTATGTTCCTTTTGTTGGTAAATGGGATCATCAAAGGGGCAATTGGAATATGGTTGAAGTAAAGGACTAGTAGCCCAGAATTTGTTTCCAGTTGTGCCATTGATTCACTTTGTGACCTTTCCAGGCTACCTTGACCTTTTTGTGCCTTTTCCTCTACTTGTAAACTGGACTGATTGAAGTTCTCACAAGGATGGAGAGAGGAATAGTAGCTTCCTCTGTGGAAGTCTGTATTTATGAACTAAGGTATTGCTCAGCAGTGGTAAAGGAAGTTGAATATGGCTCTCTGGATTTGCAAAGATGTAAAGTGCACATTATTATTATACTACATTTACATCTGCAAACAGCCCATTTGTTTGTACCTTGTTTATTTATTTTCAAATAATCCCATTAGCTGATGAGCATCTTCAAGTTTCTCTGACTATTCTGACAAGTTTAATATAAAGTAGAAGAGAAAATAAACACCAATAAGTGCACACACAGAGAATGTAAGCAACATTAAGGGTGTGACAAAGCTTAAATAGTAGGAAATTCAAATAACAGGCTGGCACTTCCTTCATGATGTACCTTCTTCCTTTGGGTGTGAATATTGATAATTTTACCGTACATCCTAAAAGACCACCTGTATTTCCCTTGCTGAACATACACCAGGCTCCTGTTACTGCTACTTTTGGAAGTCACTGTATTTGTGGAGTCCTGTTTTGGGGCATGTTCAGTCTAATGGTAAAAATAAAAACTGGACCTTGGGATACCTGAGTTCTATTCTTGACTCCGTTGCTGACTCACCCGAGTCACTTAGTACCCATTTCTCAAACTAGGGTGCCTAAAGCTAAGTGCCTAGATGTGTAGTTTGACACTTAAATGCCCATATTAGGCAGCTAGTATTAGTACTGATTTAGGGGAAGATTTTTGTATGTCTAAGGCCAAATTTTCACAAGTGTTGTGATGCCTAAAGATGCAGAAAGGTACCTTTGAACATTTTCCCCTAAATGATTTAGGGGCTCATACCCACTTTCCAGCAGGATTTTGGCTCCCAAATCACTTAGGTGTTTTTGAAAATGTTGACATGAGTATTTAAATGTTGATTTATGCACCTATGTTCAGGCAGCCGATTTGGAAAATTGGGATTGATTCCCACTGTGGTTAATATGTTGTGCAAAGTGTCTCGTGTCTCACAGAGCTGTTGTGAGGCTTAATTGATACTTTCAAATATTTTAAGGTACCTGAATTAAACAAAGAGGAAGGTCTTAACTGAAACTTTGGGTGTGAATAATCATGTTCTGGGGAAGTCTCCTCTGATACTGACAGTTTTGATTCAATATTAGGAGACGTGCAGTGTGGCACTATCATTCTTCTGCAAGCTAACAAAGAAGGGAATGTACTTTACCCATATTTTGAGTATCCCTGAGTTACTTGGACTTCACCACAATGTTATGCCTGTTATTATACATTTTAAAAGTGGCATTAAAAGGACACAAGACTTGTATAAAATGCATACGGTCAGCTATAGCATTTTCAAAGACGCTTAGGACGCGTCTACAAGTGGCCGTATAGTGCCTTTGTTACTGCACCATCATTTAGTACTTCCTTTTGGAAATTTATAATGGAAACACTGACACAACCTCAATTATGCTGGTTCTGGCAGGGCTGACCATAGTAACCAGGGACCTTTTTCCTGTCTCTTTCTCCTCTAGTTTCCTTGGACTTTGTTTATTGTGTCCTTGCTTGTTGCACTGCTGGTACGTTTTAGCTACAGCGATCTTGGAGATCTGTCAGTGTATAGCAGTCATTAGGAAGCACACCAACTCATGTGGATTTTTTTATCTTTTCTTTCTTTCCTCATAGCTTCTGCTGTGTCATGGTCATTTCCAAATTGGTGGAGCCCAGCAAGTTCATGTGAAACAGAGGAGCCTGTAGGAGGAAAATAAAGGTAAATGCCAAAGCAAAACATGTTTCTTACCTCCTGCTTCACTGTAATGAAAAGTTTTACAATTTGTCTGCAGTGGGTTGGAGACTCTCTAACTAGTAGAAATAGCCCCACATTTATTTTTCTGTCGCTGCCATTTTTATATTCTCTCTTACTCATTTTGTTGTTATGTGACCCCAGCAGGCTCACACTATGTTCATCCCTTTTGTATGGTTATTGAAAGACACTATATTAAGAGAACACAACAATTGCCTAGTTAAGACTTTGTTTGTTTATAACCTTAACTCTGCTCCTTGTACATCTGCTGTAAAATACCATCTTTAATTACAGGATCACATGCTATTTCTCAGCAAATACAACTTAATTTACTGTTTTCTGCAATCTCACTAAGAGAAGACTCTCTTGCATGTGTCTGTTACTTCCAAGTATATTGCATCACATAAGAACCACAGTAGTGGAAGGTGATGTTAATTTGTTTAAGACTAAAGTTGTGGGAAAAAAATGATGATCCAGTATTATCTGAGAAATTAAGGACTAAGGTTGGCATGCACTGAAAGATCAACTTAAGTTTGTGCGTGCCAACCTATTTGGGGGATTTCTTGACTTTGAGCACTTAGCTATGCGCACTCCTAACCACATTTTTTGAGGGAAGAAAGAATAAAAGTTCATGGTAGGTAATTATTCCACTATATGTTTTCTTCTTTCCAACCCAGAATACCCTGTCTGCACAAGATGTGTGTTCAGTGAGAACAGGGGCAGCTATAGCTACTTGCCTCTTTCATTATATGGCAGTCTCAATAAGGTGGCAGGTCTTAATAACCTTTAAGACCTGGTTCTAGTACTATTCAGACCACTAAGCCTTGCATTGACTTCACAGGGATCAGAGTTAAGCTATCTGTGGGATCCTAGTATATGAAATTCTTAACTGTTTGAGACAATGCACATTTGAGGCAGGATTCCTGCCAAATTGCCAATTTTCACCTTATGTACCCAGCTCCTGCAGTGACACTGGCATGTAAAACCAAGTTTGCAGTAAACATTTATCAATAGGTAAAGGTCTGAACATTCCACCTCCCCCTTTTTCCCCACTCTCCTTGTATTCAAAACAAATGAACATTGTTCCAGCCTTCCTTTAAATGCTGACTTTAGACAGACACCAGGTCTAGAAGCAAAACTTTCAGAAAGTTTCAAATGACTGAACAAGTTGGTTAGAATGGAAACGAATCCTTCCTTTGCTGCCATTTGCTCCATAGCTGCCCAGCTACAAGACATATTTGAGTTATGGCCTAAACAGAGTAGGAACCCACACTTCTTGAGGCAAATTTGGGTCCCAGGCATAATTCACGGCAGAGTGCTCAGATATTTATGTCTAAGCACACATACATGCTCTGACTTGAAGTTACTCTGATTAACATGGGAACTGAGTTAAGCCCAATGTCCATTTCTTTATTTCTATATGTCCCCTACATCTCTTACAAAAATAAGATGACACATCTCAAGCCTTATGCCAGTGACCTATTGACTCTGAGCTATTGCTTGTGACTTCTATGGACCAATCCTTTTAATTAGCATTCTCCTATTCAAGAAAGGAAATATACCTTAGTACATTTTTATTGTCCCAGTCTCTCTCAATTGATATGTCTAGTGCATATTACATGCCTTGTTCCCCCTTTACAAATATTTTTTACTTTAGTAATTTAAGTATCAGTTTTACCCTAAAACAAACCAAAAAAGTTAGGCAGCTTGTGACTTTGTCTGCTAAACTTTTCTGGAGTACTTTCACTGCATTTTGCCCTGACCAAGAGGGAACAAAATTAATGAGCACATATAAGTAAGGAAGAGAAATGCATGATCTTTCTCCCTATCTCTGTCTGATCTAATAGCTCAACAGAGATCCAGAATGAATGGGATCTCATAGTATTAGTAGAGATGGCCCTGGGGGGGATGTAATAAAAAACAATGGGAAAGTTTAAATAGAATCTTTTGTTGGTGGTGGTGTTCAGGGGATTAATTAAATACTGTTCTTAAAAACCTCTGAATAGAAGAAGGGGTTCATACATTCTTAGACTGAAAGCTCTTTGGGACATGGTAATGTGTCTTACTCTGTTTATTACCCATTGTAATTAAGGGAAGCTTTGCCATTGAGCTCAGCGGGAGACAACAGGCAAAAGAGGATTTCACCCAGGCGGTATATGGGAGTTGACATATGTATAGCTTGGAGGATTGGGCCTATAATAATAATAATAATAGCTAGCTGTTGTCACAGATTTCTTTACAAGGGAATTGTATAACATATAACCTCTCTCCATTAAAGTGATTTCCCATTTCATGGGTTGATTATGGTAAAGAAAAGTTACCATAGTTCATCCTATTGTTTTTGCAGGATGTAATGTTGTGTAAGGCACACAGAGCTCCAAGCAGCTTATGGAAGCATAGAAGACATATCTGGAGAGATGGGGAAGGACTCAGTAAACTTTTGGAAAATGAGGGTGCTTATCAGTAGCGAGGGGGGACAGAATTTTACCTGCAGTTAGATGGGTTTGGCTGATCATGCTTGTCATTATAATTATGAAGCTATGACTGCCCAAGTTTGTTTTGCTTTGTGGCCAGATGCAGACGTTATACTTTTACTCGTGTGAAGGATCAGAAATCAGGCTACACCTGTAAAAGAACAGAATTTCAGCACACAAAACCTGTCTATATCCATAACACAACAGAAGTTCAGCACACAGATTGATTTTAAAAATGGCAGAACATGATCTAGGATTTACCCCCCTCCACCTCCACCTCCACAAAAGGGTTCTGTTTGTTACCAATCTAAACTATGCCAAAGGCAGAAAACCAAGTAACATAGATCAATTCCGCCTTGGGCTTTTTGAGTGTTTGTACCTAGCCTGCATATTTGGGATGGGGAGGTCCCAGCAAGTGAAAATGGCGGTGGGAAAGGAAGAGCCAGACTGGAATATGCCCAGTTCTTCCTCTTAGGTAGGGTGTAAGATAACAGGTGGTGACATCCATATCTCTGCATCGCTTCTTGAGGAAATAAATCGGACGTGGATGCATGCAAGCATTAGAAAGTGTGGGCATCTCTGCTTCCTCTTTGTCACCGGTTCTACACTCTATTGCAGAGCCTGTGCCTTCCTCTTCCTTTGGCTATCTAGTGCAAGAGCTGCCATAGCTGACTCGGCCTCTGGGCCCAATTTTAATACAAATACTTTAAAAAAAACAATGTTTCCAATAGTGCATAATGGGAAAGGTGAGGAGTGGGCACAGGAATTAAACCTTCATACCTGGCATCAGTGTCCCGTCCCTGTGTTGGGGACTGAGTCCCTCTAAATGGTTCTTCCCCTGCTGCCCATCTAGTGCTCCTCTCTCTTGCCCCAATGCACCCTTCTCTTTCTTTCACCCTGTGTATGTCTCACTCTTAGTGCTCTGAATTCATTACACGGAGTAGTGTAAATCAATAGTAAATGCTAGCCGCCCACTCTGTACTCAGTTACGCAACATCACATACTGCATACACAGAAAAAGGGAAAAAGCACACACAGCCTTTACATTCAAAAGCTCTTGCATAATTTTATTTTTCTGCAGCCAAAAAGAAAAAGGAAATAACAGATGGGGAGACTCTTTTTTTTCCCCCGCTTCTCAAAATGTTTGAGAGCAGAGGTACTTTAACATCCAGGGCCATTTCTAATTGCTCTAGCCTGCAGCTCAACAAGCCATTGTTGCCAGGGTCTTAACTTGCTTTTAAAATAGGACTTTCTTGACCCTTCCTGGTGCATGGTGCACTTTCCAGGTAATACAAGAAAAGCTCTTGTGAATGGTCTAAGGCTGGATGGGTTATTTGCTTATGGAAAGAGGGGGTTAAAAATAGCAAGTTAAACTACTTGGCACGTCTCAAAATGTGGAAGGGCAAAGCGATGATCAAGCAAGGCTGGATTGACTTCTCTGGATTTTTTTTCTTTCCTTTTTATTTTCTGAAAGCAAAATATTTCTTGATGTAATATTTATGTAAAAAGCCAGTTATGTAACCCTTGTCTGCCTCTTGCTTTTGTTACCTCACCGGACTGTACAGCTCTACTGCTTTTCCTCATGACAAAATGTATTCAAACCTGCAAATCCTGATGAAAAGGAAGAATGTCTGGGTGCCCACAGCACAGACTTTTATTTCTAGCCTCTTTAAAGGCTTCAGACCGGAAGACAATGGATCTATTTAAGATCTTTTTTTAGCTGGTGGAATTCTTATTGAGTATTTTCATGTCACAGTGTTCCCTCGAACATCTGTGACTTCTGCACTGCATGCCTTTTTTCTCTCTCTCTTTCTCCCCCACCCCCCTAACTTTGGATGTAGACAATGAAAGCTTTCTCCCCCTCCCCTCCAAAGCTCACCCCAACCATTCAGTCATTCACCAAATGACAGTGGTAAGTGCGGAAACATAGTAAAATTATCTGCTGGACCAAACGTCTGTTTATTAGTTCTTTTTCCTGTAAAATATTTGTTTCATTTAAATGATTGATGTCCACAGATATCCAGCAATTCTTCTGATAAGGGTAGTTTATTTTATTTTGTTTTATTATTAACTTCTGCCTGTCAAATAGACATACAAAGTGAAGTTTTGTACATCTGTATGAACTGTTCTCTCCCTGGAAAGAGGAACTAAGATCAGGGATTTTGGGAGATGTGGAAACAGCAGAAGGGATTGTTTCAAGGAAGTTTGATGTTCCTTGATTTTTTTTTTTAAAGGAAAATGTTTTTCCACATTTATTGAAACATATGGATCTTTGCCACCTTCATCCAATGAAAACTCTAGCCCATTACTCCCTACTGGTGTACCTTCTTGGTCAGATTTTCCTCAATGTAAGTTTGCGAATTGTGCTGATGATATATCAAGGGTACCCTGGGCCGAATACAAAGTCACAGGACCTGATTTTCTGTTATAACAAAAAACTGCTCTGGGTCTGAAAATAAGCCATATCATTCACTTCAAGACCCTCTTTATATG